ATATGGAGCACTAAACAGGACTCATATAGGCACCATATTAACGAAAATTCTCGTCCAAACTCTCGCACTATATATGTTAAACCTCATCAACATAATGAGAACAGGTCGACACTTGATCCCCTCAATAACTTCACTCACACACGTGATGTGAGCCAATATGCATACGGCTATGAAGGCCCCATGAGGTACAACTACCAGGGTAATCTTAAAACAGGGTACCTAGGTCCAGCAAACTACAACCCAAATTGCAGGGCAGACCATATATCACCAGTAGATGAACGCAGATGCCGACCCATGGATGCTAACAGTCAAAATATGCAACAGGATTATTTTCGGCTGCAGCAAACAATAGCCCCACTCGCTGCACAGTTCATCCAGGAAATAGTACACACACTGACTCTGTCTCACCTCAGAGCCCCTCCAAACATAACGTAGGGATAGTAACAAGTAACCATGTTAACCTCTCCTCCAATAACTCTGGTTTACTAACAATTATGCTCCTGAATGCTAGATCTCTCCTTAATAAAATAACAACGCTTCGCTGCCTGGCATACATAGAACGGCCAACACTAATAATGGTGACTGAAACCTGGCTTACTACTGATATACCTGACACAAAGCTAGTAATAGACAACTACGACATCTATAGGAACGATAGAGTTGACAAAAGAGGAGGCGGTTGCTTAATATATGCCTATAAATCCACTAACTCCAATACTTTCAATAACCCAAATACTGACAAACTCCCAGAATCTAAGTGGATAAGCATCCACACAAACGAAAGTAAAATTCTCGTGGGATGTATATACAGACCCCCCAATAGCCCTGAAATGACTGATATAACTATTGCAGAAATACTAGAGCATGTAGCCACGCTGGACTTCGACTACAAAGTAGTATGTGGAGATTTCAACTTACCTGGAGTAAACTGGGATACCTGTACAGGACCAAGAATCCATGAAGAGCTACTACAAGCTATAGACATAGGAGGATGGAAGCAGTGCGTACGCCTCCCTACAAGGAACCAAAATACTCTTGACTTAATCCTCTGTCATAACATAGAGCCCATCTCGATAGAGGTGGGAAATAAACTCGATAACAGTGATCACAACATATTGTACTGCACGCTCCCCCTCCGACTAACAACTAAATACACACCTAAAAATTCCCCGGTGCGCTATCAATATAGGGACTATAAGAATGCTGATTGGGAATTCCTATCAGATCTGTTGAGAAGTTCTGACTGGGAAGAATACTTCATCAACAATAACTTAGAAGTATCACTTGAGATTTTCTACAAAACAGTTGGCTCAGCAAGAGACACAATCGCGCCCCTAAAATCTGCCCTAAAGACACCAACTCCATTTATTGACCGGAAAACGCGACTAAAACTAAAGAAATTGAAAAGGAAATACCATGTATTTAAGGAATTTAATGCGTTAAACCAAATACATGAAACTCTTAAACTGCTTGAAGAGAAACACAAAATGAAGTCACAACATGAGGAAAATAAAGCGCTAATGGGTAACACCAAAACTCAGGAACTTTGTAGGATATTGCAAAAACGTCTAAAAAGCAGTAAAGACAATAATGTAAGCATCTTGGAACATAGGGGTGTAATATACAACGATCCCCAGGTTATAAGTGAACTCCTCAGTGAGTGGTTTTGCAATGACACCAGAGTGCACCTGACCCCAAATTTCCAAATGACCTGCAAAAGTAACCACAAATTAGGAGAAATAGATTTTAATATACAAAATATAGACTCAGCGATTAAGACATTGAAGTCAAATGGCAGTACTGGAACAGACGACATACCATCTGTCATATACAAAAATGGTAGCACGGAAATGGTAGTCTTGTTACTTAGAATATTTACTCTGTCACTGGAAACTGGAACTTATCCTGAAGTGTGGAAAACCACATACATATTACCTAAGCACAAAGCAGGGGCCAAAACCAGTGCATGCAACTATAGACCTATTAATATAACACCGGTAATATCACGAATAATGGAGAAAGTGGTTAAAGACCAAGTGTCAGACAACTTACTAGAACATGAACTTATCAATCCATCACAACACGGATTCCTCAAAAAGAGATCATGTGTGACCTGTCACATAGACTTTTTCAATGAAGTTACACGAAGCAGGGACAACAGAGAACTAGTAATTGTGCTATATTTCGATATAACAAAAGCCTTCGATAGAGTCCCCCATAATCTGCTAGTCAGCAGGTTATGCTCACTAGGGATATGTGACCCTCTCCTGAGCTGGATAAAATCATTTCTCTTTGGCCGAAGTCAGATAACAAAAGTTGGCTCGATAATCTCAAGGCCTAAACCAGTAAGTAGTGGTGTAATCCAGGGAAGTGTATTAGGCCCACTCCTATTCATAATATATATAAACAGTATCTGTGAATGCTTTAGTGTTGGTAAACCAATACTATATGCAGATGACTTAAAAGTGACCTATAAATGCAAGAACACAGATCTCGGAATAACAGTAAACGCCATACAGCAAGAATTAGAAAAAATGGACAGATGGTGTGACACCTGGCAACTCCAGTTTAATGTCGACAAATGTGGCTGGCTCTGCATAGGTTGCAACAATTTAGAACTTGACCTGACAATTCAAGGCCATGCACTCTTACGACTGGAATCTGTATTGGACCTAGGACTGAAATACTCACATGACTTATCATTTTCTGAACATATCTCCAAACAAGTGTCAAAGTCACGCAGACTTATCGGCTTTCTACTCAGGAACTTTTACAGAAATGAGTCCAGAATTCTGTTGTACAAGGTTTGTGTGCGTCCTTTATTTGATTACTGTTCATTCATGTATAGTAGTATACGCATAGAGGACAAATTGAAAGTCGAGGGAGTGCAGAGGTACTTCACGTCAAAATTACTCGGAACCGAAAATGGTGCGAACTACTCCACTAGATGTGACACCCTAGGATTAGAAACACTATGGCTAAGACGCCTGAGACTAAACTTAACACTTTACTATAAGCTTCTAAACCACTTAGTTTTTACCTCTACTAATGGCATTCGACTTTCAGATGACAGTGGCTACAAACTAAGACACACTAAGGGTACAGTAGCTATCGAACAATGTAAAACAGCTACCAGGCAAAAGTTTTCAAGAGACCTGGTTTTTTTGTTAATGCGAAGAAAATACTTCTGTATTTCCTGAGGTGTTCCACTCACTGACAATCTGGCAGATTTTTCCAACTGTGCACAGAAATGATTGTACATAAGTGAGAAGGCTGTTATACACTAATGCGATTAACATTTATCAAGTGTATGTATAATCTCCAGCGTAAATGTAAGACATATATTGCTGTCGAATGTAAATTGTGACTGAATAATATGGTTCTATTTCTGTAACAATTTGATAATGCCTGTAAACTGGCGTCCCTCATGTACTGTACCATGAGAATAAATTTATTTATTTATATTGGCTGCAATGATTGGTGTTTCAGGAGGACTGTTTCAAAATATCGCTATACTGAACATGATAGGATAGATGGAGGGTAGTGTCACGTACACAAATATTCTAGTTTGTGAGGAAGCTGCACCTGCCAGCATAGTATCATCCAATGAAGACTTTACGTCTCAGGATATCAGTGCAGCCTATTTTAGTGTGAAGAACACTACTATTTAACAAAAGCTGTTATCCATACATGGAAATCACGTATAGATAATAACAGGACCTTCTGTGAGAACAGAATTTATCATGTAGATGTGTCTTTCACCGTATATGCCTTCAGACAGGAATTGTGGTAAATTGAAAGGTTATCCCTTAGTGGATTTAATCCATATTTGCAATGATTGGTGCAGTACAAAATGGGTTATGTTTATCCAATGTATAAAAATATTTCATACATTTGGTTCCCTTAGTAAATTTCGACAGAAAAAGAAAGAGCAGATCTGTTCTACCCCATTTGCCTCTTTTCTACTTTGAAAGCGCATAAAAGACCTCTCTACTCTATTAAGATTGCGCCAGTGTCTACTAAGCTGACTGCTAGGCCAACGAATGTAGGTGGTTCTCACGACTGTTGCAAGTGCACCGCAGTGTAGAAGGCAATAACTTGTTCTCATCACTGTGGGGTAGTCACATAGTTTCTTTTGGTAGTCCTGGAACTAGTGAAGTGTAGGATATAGTAATGCATGTGTCCAATGTATACATGTGTATATTATATGCAATGTAATATGCAACTGAAGTAAATGTACATAATGATGACAAGTTTCCTGCTGTCCCTTGGCTTGAATCAGCTTTCCCTTTCTGTAAAGAGGTCTGTCAGACACGAGGGTTTTCCCCGAAAGCAACGCTGTACTCTGGACGGTGAATTATGATTTTCCGGATACGCCATGATAACTTTCCGGATGACTCTAACAAGCGTCTCTACTAAATTGCTGGCGAAACAGATACTTATGTGGTTTGAAGGAGTGTCAGGGTCTTACTTTGTTGACTGCTGTTACTATAGGGTCTTTCCAGTCACGAGGCGACGCTCAATTAAGTAGAAGCGGGAAGAAGATTGCGGTCAATGGGCAGGCTATGCGGGCTGTTAGCTACTTAGGGAGCCCTAGGTGAATGCCATCAGTACCAAATAATTCCCCTGAATCTAGTGTGTTTGAAGAACCAAATGCGATGTCGTGGTCAGTGCCAACGAAATATGCCCTATAGTTCTCTGATGCGGCCACAGCTGACGCTATTGGCAGTGACGACCCCTATATGAAAACTTTGGAGAAGTAGTCTGCAATTCCTTTCCCTTTTCCTAGTCCTCTGTTTAGCTACTAGAGTTAAGTACCTAAGTAAACGTATGCCCACTCATAGCCACGAAAAGTATACTTTGAACTTCAGGAGTCCAAGACACACAGTAATCGAATGAAGAAAGGCTGATTTCTAAAGTTAGTGGGTAAGTTGACTTTCGATTGGAAATTGAATATAGTGTGCGGAGTCTGATAGTTTGCGCAACATTAATTTTTCGGAATGGTGGGTGAATATGCTACTCCAGAGGAGAAGGTATCGCATCGCTTATCTCAACTACTTTTAATTTTAATTTTTAAGGCAGCCATTTGTGCCAAACTAGTTTTACTTGCCCCTCCATGTGAATTCAACGAGGTTTTAGATGGTAGGATGTCAATACATTGATATTCGTTACTGTATAGATGTTCGTTGTATATCCGGTGATGATCATCAGATACAGAAAAAATTAGCTGCGTAAGGAAATTTTTCGCATCTTACAGTTTTTTTTAGTGCTATAGCACAGTACAACAAAGATCAAATGATTCATGTCAAATTACCAGGCTGCGAGCATCCATCTCTGATTACTTCATACGCAGACTTAGGGAGTGGATATTTCATGTGTCCACGATCTCAACAGTCATTCCATTTTGATCACCTCAAGCAGACAGTCAGTGATGTTAAAAGTTTGGATCGTAGCAATGTTGAAAATATAGATCATGAGTTAGAGGACTGGAGACATGCTCTGCAGGAATGTGCAACTGTTTATGTAAATGAACACTTTCCTGAGGGAGCTGTTTCAGTATATGCCTTACGATTACACGATGGCGCACGGAGTCTTGTTTTATGTATTGAATCTCACTTTTCTAAACATCAATCGTAAGTTGTTATTGTTGAATCTATTCATTGTTTTGTTTCTGTTTTTTGAGACGGTTCACATGATTAAGTTATATTTTACATTACCTGTGGTGATCTGCTGGTTTATGTGTTTCCGAATAATAAGACGCCTATCAGCCCTATATGTTTGTATGGAGCTGGATGGCAACACTCACGAAGGCGATGGCGCTGGGTTGTAGAAGATTGCATAGGTGAAATAGTATATAAATATGTCCATCTGACTTCATTTGCGATGTGCGACTTATTTGATTGCAGCATTAAATATTGGTAAGGATAACCTAGTGTATTAGTTTCGCCTAAGCTAGGATAAAGGGAAGACTGAAGGTTCGTGACCCTACCCTGGAAAGTCATTTCAGTAGGTACAGAAATAATATAAAGTAAATCGCTTCTGTTTGTCGCTTTTGCTACTCATTGTTTGAAAATTAGGAATAAAGACTCTAGGTTTTTTCTTTTTTGAAAAAATAATATTTTAAATTGTAATAAAACGATTGACTTGTTGGTGACACATGGTGCGTATTTTGAGTTTTCGATGTAGAGGTGTCACTCGATAACACTGTTTCCTTAAATTCTGCTTGAATTACTTTTATCTTCTAGCTGTTTTCTAAGAGCCTTATATTTCAACAGGGGTATTACTGAACTCTGACAGAGCATTCATTGTATTTGTGAGGGAACAAATAGTTAATATAATCTTAAGTCATAGGACGTGGCACTTCTCTCATTTTTCAACATGTTTAGCACGTCAGCAATAATGATGAGTCCAGAACGATAGTATCACTAGCTGCAAAGATTATAAGCCTCCAACTTAATTTCGTTAGATTCCTTGTAACAAACCTATAAGACTCATCAAGTGAGATAGACACCGGTTAAAATGCTTGTTGACAAGTCAATCTCACCATTTAATAGTCAGGTATCTATGTCAGCTGACTGTAGATCCGATTTCGACTATTTGAATCAATTTCTAACGGTAATCTTTTATATAGTGTCAGACCGTGTCTACTTCTACGAGTAACCCATTTCCTTTGTGTGCAGTAGTACAGATGGTGATGTTTCTCCAGGATAATTTGTGTCTCGTAATGTCGCCCTCTTTTGTTGGAAAACGAAAATGGTTTCGTGCTAAAAGTAATACGCTTTCGCTTCACAGTATCCTGGTGTTGACTGTAAGCTTTCGTTGAATTCAAAACCAACTCAGGTGGATGTCATTTGAAAATTATCTGCGAGTGTAATTTTGGGATTTGTAGCCACATTTTTAAGTCAATAAAGCCAAACATGCTAATATTATTTCGTCATCAAGCACTAGGAAAAAAAGTATAGGGAGATTTAGCATTGACGAAACCTAAAACCGAGGGGAGACTTTTATGCACTACAGAACATTTATTTGTAGTTGGTACTTCATATTAGCCTCTAGAAAGAAGCTACTGTTTGTATGTCTTACATAACGAAGCAGTTGCTTCTGATTTATCACTATGGGAGACTCTGAGAATCTGTGGCTGGAGATTGGTGGTCGTGTGGTTCGAGATCGTTCTGAGTATTAGGTTTTCATTATTCTCCATGTGATCTTTCTTTTTCCCTTACGCTTCTCTTTATTATAGTTTCTCTGCAATTTATCTTCCTCTCTCCCTTATATAAGCTTTATAAAGTACAGAAACTTGAACTGGTGTACTTTAGGTCTTTTTCTGTGATGGAAATTCAGTTCAACCTAAATTATCTACCTCGACGAGCAATGTTAGCGGATACAGGGTCAGGCTGGAAAAGAGCTAGTGGAGGTCAAACAAAAACATGGCACCAGTCAATGAAATCCACAACAGTTAGTCTAAGCCATGTAGGAGGATGTAGACTTCCTGGTTGGGGTCCTCGGGACGGTAAAAACAAATGGTTGGAAACAATTGGTGACATGGCTCAAAATTGTTCTCAGTGGTGCAGATGCATCCACTCCCTGTGACTTATGATTTCCAATTGTTCTTCGTTACTACTATTCCTTTGTCTCACACCTCTGTTTACTGTCTCTATTATGCTTTCCTTGTACTTTCTTCTCTTACTTTGTGTGCTACATGGAGTATGGCGACTTGAGCTGCCGCACATATGCGCAAAGTTCTATGTCGGAAACAGACACAAATTATCTTCACTTACCTCTAATAACGACTTTCAGCTATGCCCCTTGTTAGTAACTTGGGCTAACACTGTTATAATTGGTCTTTTGAAAATGTGTCTACACCCTATCTGGAATCGAGCACAATAAGCTTCAACGGCTGTGACGCACCCCAGTTCATAAACGTATACGGTATTTTCAGGACATGCTTACGCGGTGAAGGTATGTGTTCGAATCCCGTTTCATGTACAAAAGTCTCAGACACAGTGTAACTGATTGTTATGAACATGTATTTGGCTATTAAGTTGTATGTATCTTCTCATGATACCAGTAGTTGTCTATGACACTTTGATGCTTACATATTTGTGCCATACCGTGGATTTACAGAGTGCAGGTTTTTTCGTGGTCAAACTTGTGAAAAACAAATCTAGTCCTTACAAACCAACTCCTGAAAAGTAAAAACTAAATGTTTGAAGGTCTTAAAAGGTTCGCCTCCGTTTTTATCTTAGTTATACTCGAGAATGTAAATAAAGATGGCTCTAAATCGTTAAAAAGAAAACCGTCTCCTGTGATTAATTCTGGGATTTCCAATTTTTTTCGTAATGGTATCTATACAGTGTCATGGTTTTGTAGTAAACATGTGTTTTGAAAATATGTTCTGTATTCCACTATGATCCACTTAGAGTGGTAAACACTCTTAGATGGGTTAACCTTTGTTTGACGATAAACTCTAAGTTTATGCCATGAAACTAAGGTCAATGCATTCTCCAAAGTTCTAATTACTGTCTACAAAGCCACACAGTTAATGAGAAGGTTAATTTCAAGCTTTATTAACACAAATATTGTGCATACTTATAACTGATATTCTTTTTATGTAGATGTTTTTATTTTATTATTATACTACTTTCTACAGAACTGGACGATGGAGATCAGAGTGGATATTCAAGGTAATTGGACAATCACCCATGGAGTTCTCAGTTCATGGTGTTATTAAAGTCCAGGTGGGTGTGTTACTAACTGTTTTCAGGTTGGTTTAAACTTGCGAATATTTTTTTCGTGTTTGTGGGTGTGGGGGGGGGTAAGAAAGTTTGTATGATTTATGTTTAGTCGTGTATATTTCTGAAACTTGGTAATATTTAGCTGTAACATGGAATATGTATGTAGACATTAAGAAAATTATAATTCGATAAGTAGTGTTCGTGTAGTGTAGTGTAGTGTAGTGCGATAACAGTATGTCTTGTCCAGGAACTTTCATCTGGCTTACTGGATGAGCGATGTTATTTTTATTTATTTAAACGCATAAAGAAAAACGGTACAATATGGCACCAAGAAAGATGCGCCACACAATAATAATAAAACAACATAGATCAAAAAAGAAAGGAAGGAAAAGAAAAAAATATATATAAGTAGAGAACGGATAAAGAACTTCATCTGGAGGGAAAACAGTCATGCTTAACAAGTTCAAACAGTATTCGTTAACTATCATCGGGAAGGGAAGAAAGAAGGAAATTGCAACACGTTCGTCATTGATTACGATTCTAGGTCATATCCGATAACGTTTCGAGCCATGGATTTGAGCTATCACTCAGACTCCAACCGGGGAGACGTGATGCACCAACCGATGCTAACCTAGGACAAAAGTTCCTCATCCCACGACGCCACGTCATGGACTGACCACCTCTCCGCCTTTTCCATCCCGTCCCAGGGCTAGCGAACAGAGACCTGTACGGAAGCCTCTGGGATGACATTCGGAGCACATGTCCAAGCCACCGGAGCCGGTGTTTCCAGATGACGACACTCAATGAATGGTGATCTCCACTGTGTTCATACACACGCCGCCAAACTTCAGAATTACTCACGCGATGATGCCATCGAACGCAAGCAGTCCTGCGGAGACAGCGCACGCAGAGTCGCCGCACATCCTCAGCCTACTCGGCGAGGCCAGGTTTCACAGGCGTAGAGCAGCGCAGCCCGCACTGAAGCATTGTATACCCGACCTTTGACAGCCAGGCTAACGTCGCGACGGCGCCAGAGGTGGCTCAAGTTGATGTATGCCACCCTAGCCTTCATTATACGGTTGGAAATCTCATCCGTCACCCCTCCGCCAGCACTCACACAACTACCCAGGTAAACAAACTTATCAACAACTTCAAGCGGTTCACCCACAAGAGTGAGTGCGAGTACAGGCTCCTGCCAATCTTGTAACAGTACTTTGCACTTAGACGGCGCAAAGCACATACCATACTTACAGACACTGATCGCCAACTGATTAAGTGCGATTTGGGCAGCCTGCATGCTATCGCACAGTAAGACGATATCGTCTGCATACTCGAAGTCGAAAAGTCTATCTCCAGGCGATGTTAGCTGACATAGGATTAGGTTAGAAAACCGTTACGGGTGATCAAACCAAAACCTGGAATCAATCCATGAAGTCTTTGACTGTTGGTTTGAGCCAGTCACCTAGGACTGTCAGGTGGACTTCCTGAGACGCTAAGAACCAATAATAGCTGGAGACATTTTGGTGATATGCCATTAAAAGTATTCTCAGTAGTCCAGATGCATTCATCACTCCCTGCATAACTCCCAGATCCATTGAACCGTCATATTTTTCCATGCTATTATTCTCGCATACATTTCCGCTCACCGTAGTTCTGTCGAATATCTTTCTCTTTTTTCTCTCTGCCTTTGTGTGCTACATGAAGTATGGCAACTTGAACTGCTGAACTTCTTAGCTGATTTAAGATATAATGTGTAGCGCGGAAATTGTCTCAGTATTTGACTTCATACGTCATTCACCTTAGAAATACCACAATAAAAAGAATAACTACATGTTTTGATGCGTTGTAGTATTTGTAAGAATTCAAGTTGAAAAAGTTAAGATGTCGTATTTTTGAAAGTCGTAAAGAAAAGCATTCAACGTATAGATTGGATAATTTGTTTTGTTCCTTTACGTTCCCAGTGGAACATAAGGCCACTGCAAGCTAGAGACTTGAAGTTTCAGTAGCAGTGGTATTTATTTTTTTTACGGGATGGGGTTGCTAGTCTCATGTCCGACCTTCCCTCTTTACCAGTCTTATTACTGGCTTAGTGCGAGGTAAAGGAGTGCGTTGGTATAGCATCAGGGGATTTTCGTATATAGTATTTTCAAACTGGTTGCATTGGAAAGAACAACGTAACTATAAAAGAAAAGAACCGAGTGTCATTGAAAACAGTTATAAACCATATTACCAAGAGTCTCCATCTACTGATTGTTAGCGTCTCGAGGGCCCCAACCAGCAAGTCTAGCCCCTTACCCCCTTCTATATGACTGGCTCAAACCAACAGTCAAAGACCTCTTGAGTTGATTCCAGGTTTTGATATAACCACCTCTGACTCTTTGCTGAAAGGTGAGTCATTGTTTCAAGTTGTGAAGCTGCACTGATTAAGATCACTAGCAACACATCTTACGCATGTCCTACCAGATCTCTCCCCCTTGAGCAACGATTTTGCCTTCTATATCTTACCTGAATTGTAAGTAAAAACATATTCCACTTTGGAAGCCTTTCTCGTGTAACTAAATCACTTTCTGATACTTTTCCATTATGGTGAAAATGTTTTAGACATAGTTGTGATTTTTATGTAGCTTAATTTCATCATAATACAATAGTTTTGTGATATTAGATGGTTGGAGGCAATCGGCAGGAAGACTTGGACCTAGGTTTCGTGCTAGTTGGCGCTCGTCAGCGAGGCGTATCTGCAACCCTGAAGGAACTCATGTGCCTTCTGAGATTCGAACCCGCGTCACCCAGTGCTGCAGTCAGAGACGTTACCAATAAGCTATTTCTAGGCTCAAGGCTTCCTGCCGATTGCCTCCAACCACCTAATATCATCAAATCAATGTGCACCGTGATGACGAGTTACCTAGAGTGTTGGTCACATTACAATCTGACTGATAGAATTCAGCCTGCACCAATAAGAGGACCAGGCACATCATACTAGTTACTAGTGTCAAATCAAAATACAATAGTTTTGTTTTTAGTTTATCACCACTTTTCGTTTTAAAATATCATGCATGTCACCGAAAGCAGATTAAAACTATATAGTTCACTATACAGAAACACCTCAGGTAGAGTGAGAGCGGCATACAACCAACTATCATCACTGTTCCCAACCAACAGTGGGGTTAGACAGGGTTGCCAAACCTCTCCATTTCTCTTTAACTTTGGCATCGATGACATTCTGGAGTCACCTCTGAAGGATGCGCGTGAAGGTGGTGTAGATCTGCTGCCTGGAGATATACTTTTCGACTTCGAGTATGCAGACGATATCGTCTTACTGTGCGATAGCATGCAGGCTGCTCAAATCGCACTTAATCAGTTGGCGATCAGTGTCTGTAAGTATGGTATGTGCTTTGCGCCGTCTAAGTGCAAAGTACTGTTACAAGATTGGCAGGAGCCTGTACTCGCACTCACTCTTGTGGGTGAACCGCTTGAAGTTGTTGATAAGTTTGTTTACCTGGGTAGTTGTGTGAGTGCTGGCGGAGGGGTGACGGATGAGATTTCCAACCGTATAATGAAGGCTAGGGTGGCATACATCAACTTGAGCCACCTCTGGCGCCGTCGCGACGTTAGCCTGGCTGTCAAAGGTCGGGTATACAATGCTTCGGTGCGGGCTGCGCTGCTCTACGCCTGTGAAACCTGGCCTCGCCGAGTAGGCTGAGGATGTGCGGCGACTCTGCGTGCGCTGTCTCCGCAGGACTGCTTGCGTTCGATGGCATCATCGCGTGAGTAATTCTGAAGTTTGGCGGCGTGTGTATGAACACAGTGGAGATCACCATTCATTGAGTGTCGTCATCTGGAAACACCGGCTCCGGTGGCTTGGACATGTGCTCCGAATGTCATCCCAGAGGCTTCCGTACAGGTCTCTGTTCGCTAGCCCTGGGACGGGATGGAAAAGGCGGAGAGGTGGTCAGTCCATGACGTGGCGTCGTGGGATGAGGAACTTTTGTCCTAGGTTAGCATCGGTTGGTGCATCACGTCTCCCCGGTTGGAGTCTGAGTGATAGCTCAAATCCATGGCTCGAAACGTTATCGGATATGACCTAGAATCGTAATCAATGACGAACGTGTTGCAATTTCCTTCTTTCTTCCCTTCCCGATGATAGTTAACGAATACTGTTTGAACTTGTTAAGCATGACTGTTTTCCTTCCAGATGAAGTTCTTTATCTTTTTTTTTACTTTGATCTATGTTGTTTTATTATTATTGTGTGGCGCATCTTTCTTGGTGCCATATTGTACCGTTTTTCTTTATGCGTTTAAATAAATAATAAAATTAAATAAAATTGGATGGTTGTCGAGTCTAGAGACAGCTGGGCACTGACTAACAACTAACAAACAAGACAGCTACTCCGTCTTAGTGAAATATTAACATCTTGTTATAATATATTTCGGTGCTTAATTATCCACTCAGCTGACTGTTTTTCTCTCTCTTCACATTATTTATACGTACTCTATAAAATGTGGCTAATTGAAAGTGCTACACTCTTTTATGCAAAGCTTAGCTTTATAATACATTTAAAATCCAGTCAATCAATCAATCAATCAGCTGAGATTGATAACTTTCATGTTTTTATTTTCCTCTTTGTTCTTGTCAGCTTGTGTGTGTTTCAGGATGCTTTCTTTGCTCACACCTTTGTTTCTTTGTTGTTGTTGATATAGACACATTTATACGAGGAGGGTAATGTTCAGTTGATTTCATCTAAAGAAGTTGATTTTGTTATTCCTGGTTCTGTTCCAAAAGAATTCGCTAAAGAATCGTTGAAGAAGATAAAACATGCCGACTGTGCATATCAGGTAAGCTATATTTTGTAAAACTGAGCTTTGACTAGAAATATTTAAATGATAAATGGGTTTTAGAGGAGTTTATACGAAACACCTGGGGGTAAAACCATCACGTCCCCAGCTCGATCAGGAAACTAAATCCCTATTTGAGGAAGAACTAGCTAAACACATATCTGTGTTCGACAGCTGTGCTCACACTGAAGAAGCTTGGAAGAATATCCAGGCAGCCATAGATACAGCTGTAAAAGCTGTGAATAAGGTAAACCCAAAGGTGAGTAAAAACCACTGGATCTCCACCACCTCATCCGAACTGATAGATGCTAGAAGACTTATTCCGGCGAGCTCCGAATTCAATGAGGAGCGAAAGCTGCAAAAAAGGAAACTTACGAAAAGTCTCCGCAAGGACCGTGAACAGTGGTGGGTGACAAAAGCCAAAGAGATGGAGAAAGCTTCGAGGATAGGCAACACCAGGCAACTATTTAGACTCATCAGGGAAACGGGTGGGAGAAGACAAATCATTAGTGAAACAATCTCGGAAAAAAATGGCACTATAATTAGCTCCCAGGATAGACGACTGGATCGTTGGAAAGAGCATTATGAGGAGCAGTTTAATTTGCCCACAGCCACGCTCAACCTTCCGAGCATCCAACACCTCCCTGAATGGGATATAGACACAGGTCCTCCGTCACTAACTGAGGTTACTAAAGCTGTCACCAATCTGAAACTAGGCAAAGCAGCGGGACCTGATGGAATGACTCCAGAGGTATTTAAGTACGGTGGAGACAGCTTACTGTCTGCATTAACTGAGGTACTAGGCAGCGTCTGGGAATCAGAAGAAGTCCCATCGGGTTGGTGTAAGTCACTGATTATCCCCATATACAAGAAGGGAGACAAGTCTTCCTGTGATAATCACAGAGGGATTAGCTTGACTAATATAGTATCTAAAGTCTTAGGCTCAATAATCATGCGTAGACTGAGTGGTGCTCGGGAGGCACAAACACGAGAGAGCCAGGCAGGCTTTAGACCAGGAAGAGGGTGTATTGATCATATCTTCACCCTCCGACAGATTCTAGAACATAGGCATTCCTACCGGCGTCCAACAGTCATTATATTTCTTGACCTAAAGGCAGCATTCGACTCTGTCGATCGGGAAGTTCTCTGGAGATGCTTGGCTGTAAAGGGAATTCCGAGAAAATATATTGCACTGATTAAGGCACTCTACTCGTACTCATACAGCCAGGTGAGGGCTTACGGCGAGCTGTCATCTGAACTGGTGACGACCAGTGGTGTCCGTCAAGGATGCCCATTATCCCCTTTTCTATTCAACTTCATCATAGATGTGTTAATGGACTTAACCCTAAGTGACTTCAGCGATTCAGGGATTGACTTGCTACCAGGGAATAATCTCGTTGACTTGGAATATGCAGACGATATAGTCCTTCTAGGCGAAGACGCTGACGAAATGCAGAGTCTTCTAAACACCTTGAGCTGCAATCTACGAATGTTTGGCATGCGATTCGCTCCCGCCAAATGCAAGATGATGTTACAGGACTGGACTACATCGACGCCTAGTTTAAAAATAGGAAGTGAAGTGGTAGAGCACGTTGACCGCTTCACTTATTTGGGAAGTACCATCAGCCAGTGCCAACGGGTTGATCTCTGACGAAATCTCAGCACGAATACAGGGGGCTCGTTTCGCATTTGCCAGTTTACGCCGACTCTGGCGTAGACGAGATGTTCGACTATCGACCAAAGGGCGGGTGTACTGCTCATCAGTCCGCTCCGTCCTCCTTTATGGTTGTGAGACCTGGCCACTGAGAGTGGAAGACATGAAAAGACTAGCTGTCTTTGATCATAGGTGCCTGCGCTCTATTTCCCGTGTAAAGTGGCATAATAAGGTGAGCAACATTGAGGTTAGGCGTCGAGTTCTAGGTAAACAGGGGAAATCAATCGACGAAGTCGTGAAGTTACAAAGACTGAGATGGTTAGGACATGTGTTACGTATGCCAAGCCATCGCCTCCCTCGACGAGCAATGTTAGCGGATATAGGGTCAGGCTGGAAAAAAGCTAGCGGCGGTCAAACAAAAACTTGGCACTAGTCAATGAAATCCACAACAGTTGGTCTAAGCCACGTAGGAAGGTGTAGACTTCCAGGCTGGGGTCCTCGGGACGGTAAAAATCTATGGTTGGAAACAATTGGTGACATGGCTCAAAATCGTTCTCAGTGGCGCAGATGCATCCACTCCTTGTGACTTATGATCTCCAGTGAAACTGTTTTGTTCTTCGTTATTACTCCTTTGTCTCACACCTCTGCTCACTGTCTCTATTATGCTTTTCTTGTACTTTCTTCTCTTGCTTCGCGTGCTACACGGAGTGTGGCGACTTGAACTTCCGCACATTTGTGCAAAGTTCTATGTCGAAAACAGACAGACAGAGACAGCAGTTGTATGGTGTCATCTCCGGACGACCAATAAACCAACTGTGCTGCTTTCTCGTTTTGTGAAGAGGGGGCTTCGAAGAGATCAGCTTCAAAAGTTGTGGATTCTTATTTCCTTTGCGGTAAAGTGTGTCCGTAGCCGACTGGAAAGGCTTCACATGGACACCACTTCAAAAGTCATCACAAACTTATAGTGTTTGGCCGGTGTGTAGCAGTTATCCTCTGTGGTCGTGTAGTACTAATGTTCTTTCTGTCTCAAGTACTTCAAGGTAGAAATTGACTTCAACTGTGGGAATAGCCGGATAAAATAATCTTGTCCACATACTTCGATAAACACACACACACGGAAATTTTTTGTTTACCTGATATTCTCCACCATCTTAAAATTTATCTTCGTCGGTGGCACAGAGGTAGAATGCTTGTCGACCACACATTTGGTCCGGGGTTCGATCCCCGGTCGACGCACCCCTCAGCAGTCAATGGAAGGTGTAGATTTCTGTCTGGTTGGGGTCCTCGAGACGGTAAAAACCAATGGAGGCTGGAGACAATCCGTGATATGGCTCAAAATCATTCTCAGAGGCTAGCAGCGTAGATGGATCCACTCCTTGTGACTCATAATATCCAATGAAAATATATTGTTCTTCGTTATTGCTATTCCTTTTGTCTCATATCCCTGTCTACTGTCTCTATTACTCATTTGTTCTACTTTCTTGTCTTGCTTTGTGTTGTACAAGGAGGGAGTGCGGTGACTTGAACTGGTGCACAGCGGTGCAAAGTTCTATGTTGAAAACAGATAGATAGACAGACAGCTTATTTTGAAAATTAACATGGACGATTTTCACTGTTCAATAAGGTATTCATACATTTTTGACATTTAAAGCTAATATTAGATGGTTGCAGGCAATCGGCAACCTGATTGATAGAATTCAGTCTGCACCAAAGAAAGGACTAGGCACATCACACGAATTACTAGTGTCCAATTAAATTAAAGCTAATATTATTTCATTGAAGGAAATATTGAGAAGCCAGCTAACGTATTCTTATTGTGTGGTTAATGAGGATGTGTATTGCAATATTCACTACTAGTTTGTGGGTTCCTTTTTTTACAGTATGTATACAAGGACCAACTGAATTAATAAATAGGTGATTATTGTGATCATTACTGTGTTCTATCATTCTGGAGGAGTAACATTTGGCTGTTATATTGTTATGTCTTATCTTGATATCTACGAAACCGCGTGTAGTTCATTCGTGGTAAAGTCTCTGATCACTACACTGGTGAGGGTGACAATGGTCAAAATTTCCAAGTGAACGTCAGTTCTTTTAACATTCGTTACTAATGTGCTTTGCTGATGAATACCAGTAAGCAAGGAACCTTTTCGCCCAGGGTCATGTCTAATCGATCAAAAAATTGGATGAGTGTGTTCCTCTCGTTTGGAGCTGTTTGCATTAGGAGTATGACCCAGTGTAACTCAACTGAAAAAAAGTCAATTTGACTCTACATTCTTTTGTGTTCATTAAATATCTGTAAGCGTGCATTGGTGAAAATAGGCTATCATCAGATGACAATGTCGTCGACCAACTGTTTAAAGGAAATCCTGAACCTTAATATAATTGGATTCCATTTAAAGGAGACTTCAAGAAAAAGAAAGAAGGACAACGAAAGCCTCGCAAGTAAACCACCGAGTTCAGAGAATACAATTAAGTCAGTATGATCCACCTGAGTTAAAAGTTTCCATTTTTTCTCTAATTAAATTCCTACTGTTGTTGTTGTTGTTGTCTGTGTTGGAATTTAGTGTTTTCACATGCTATTTGCATGCTTAATATAAATCCTTTGACTACAGATGTTTACGTTCTATGTCCTGTATCAAACGGTATAGTAGGATAAGCAATATTGAGCTTGGATGTAGAGTGCTAGGCAACGATGGGTAATAAACCGCTGAGGTTGTTGTGAAACTGTCTCGGTTTAGGTGGTTAGGACACGTGTTACACATGCGTCGCCACAACCTTCCTTGTCCAGCGATCTTATATTATTATTATTTTCTTTAATTCCTAGAGGAACATAGGGCTTCAGTCGCACGTCTCCATTGCATTCGGTTCTCTGCTAAAGTTTTCACCTGGCTCCACGACTGCCCACTTGCTTTCACCTCCTCTTCACATGACCTCCTCCAAGTCACACTGAGGACCAACTCGCCACTCCCCTATCGGGTTCCACTCGAGTGATGGCTTGTCTAGTGATGTCTTTTGATGGTTTCCTCAGAGTGTGGGCCAATCCACCTCCATTCCTTCCTGCTTATTTGTTGTACAATCGCTTCCTGGTTGGTTTGCTCCCAGAGATCCCTTTTGCTGGTCTTTTCTGACCAGCCATCTGATCTTGACGGAGTATTGAGAGAAGACAGCTGTTAATGAAGATCTTTAGTTTGTTTGAGGTTCTCTTTATGACGCGCCAAGTCTCCGATCCACATGGTAAGTAGCACTGACTTCATATTGGAGTTGAAAATCCGGACCTTATTTCTCATGCTGATATCTGTTGACCTCCACAAAGACTTAAACGTATTGAAAGCTTGCTTTGCTTTCCCGATCCTCGCTTTGATGCCTGCATCAGTTCCGTCCTCCCGCAGTTGAGTTGATGCTTCCTAGGTAGATGAAGGAGGTTGCTTCTTCCAGATTTCTCCTGTTCATGCTGATTGTTGTTCATTGTTGTTGTTGTTGATGTTGCCCAGGAATCTTCCTCACCTACCTCTGTTTTTTTCGCCCGAAGTCCTATCTTCTCTGGATACTTTTCTTCTTCACTTGCATATCTTCCAGTTTGTGAGAAATCAAACATATCATCGGCGAAGTCCAGATCTTCGTAGTTTTTTGTGAGGGTCCATTTTATGTCTGTCTCCTCTTTACCCACTGTCTATCGCATTATCCAGTCAACCGCAATCAGGAAAATCTTTGGCAAAAAGAGTTTGAGAAAAGTGGTCAAATCAACACCTGAAATCAAAGTCATGATCTGTTCGACTGTTAGTTTCAGGCAGCTAGCTACTTAAGAAGATATACTAGAGGGTCCTGGAAACTATTAGGGTGTGGTGTGGCTCAAAATTATTGTCAATAGCGCAAATGCATTCACGCTTTTGTAATCTCTCTGAGATTCACTAGGCCTCATAATAACAGTCCTCTTTTCTCTACCTTTGTGTGTGTGTGTGTGTGTATGTGAACGTGATCTGGTGTAGTTCTGCGCAGTTTCAATATTGAAATTCACAGCGATCAGATATCATCCTTTCGAAGAAATGATTGCTAATCACTTTCTTGTTTTTGTTTTCTTTCCTTTTGCTTACTAGGTTGGTGTTGCAGAGAATTTCAAAACAATGTCAGATACAACCTTTAAAGCACTTCGCCGACAACTTCCACTGACTCGTTCCAAACTTGATTGGAATAAGATTATCACATATCAGATAGGCAGTGAACTAGCAAAAGCACCACAGAATTAATAAAAGTCGTCAATTCCACGTAGAAGAATACTCATTTGGGAGTGTGTATGTGTGTGTGTGTGTGTGTGAGTATGAATCCCGAATTAAATATGATCTGAATAAAAAACGCCAAAACAATTGTTGATCTTATTTTAAATCTATTTGATGTGTGTGTGTGTGTATGTATAATAAAGGTCGAACCACTAATATCAACAATATATATTTTTTTAAATTACTAAATTGAGCTTAAAAGAAAATTATTCGTTACTGCCTTGTTTTTACCGCCTGCCCGACTTCAGGAGGGTTGGGGTGGGGGGGGAGCGGGAAGACAAGTCGAGGCGAAAGTAAAGTAAGGCAAAGCGCAAGGCAGTGCTGCTATTATTGATTCAATCGGAATTTTTTGTTTCTGCTTTGTGATTTATATCGGGAACACATATACATATTTTTGTTTTTTTTCTGTTTTTACTTTTTTGTCTTGTTAATTTTGCCCATCCTCTCTCGCGCTCTCTCTGTGTGTAGCTTTTGTTTTTCTACACAAAACATGATATTGTTCTCTTTTGTAATTTTATGTTTTTACTTTGTGGTAGATTTATACATGCATACATACAAACATATACATAGATATAGTTATCATGATTATTTCTCTCAATGTTGAACTGGTTCATTTATGTATGATGTGTATGTATTCTCAGTGTGAGTAATATTTTGGTTTTTTTACGAGTTGACCACGGATTGATATCAGTTAGAGAACCATTGAAAACCAGGGAGTACTGTCAAACAGCTGTTTCATCCTAGTTCGGGAGTCATCGGCAGTATGCACCCGCCACAGGAGGTTCGAACTCAGGACCTTCCAGTTACAAGGCAAGCTGTCTGGGATCTGATTCAATGGCCAGTCCATGAATTCTAACCTCTACCAATTCGTGATTTAGCGTGACCCCAACCAATGTTGTCGGTGGGACATCCATCCTCACATGTGACATCTGGATGGACCTCACTGGTGACGACTTCTCACTAGAACTCCAGGAAACTCCATCCTGTAACTAGTCACTAGCGAGCATCAGATCTATTTTTTATAGTTTGGTTTCTAAGGGTTAGTTTTGATCACGGATGGATATCAGTTAGAGAACCATGTCTCACCGACGATGAGATTGGTTGATGGTCGCGCTAAATCACGAATTCGTAGAAGTTAAAATTTATGGGCTGGCCATTGGATCGGATCTCAGTGACTGAATAGTATACCAGCCAGCTTGCCTTGTAACCGGAAGGTCCTGGGTTTGAACCCTGGCGGTGGGTGCGTACTACTGATGATTTCCAAACTAGGATGAAACAGCTGTCTGACAGTACTTCCTGGTTTTCAATGGTTCTCTAACTGATATCAATTCGTGGTCAACTCGTAAAAACAAAACTAACCTTTACAAACCAAACCATAGAAAATTTTTGTTTTGTGGTTCCACTCGTTGTGTAATCATCATAATCACCATTGTTGTCGTTGATGTTGTTAGCTGTAGTGACAGAGATGTAATCATCTTTGGTATGACTCACCTAATTCATTCACTGACTCACCCAGTCACTCTTTAGCACAGATCAGAAGTCAATCTGTATCCACTGGGGCTTACTTGAACTTCAGTATCCAGACCTGCTACTGTCTCTGTCTGTGTTACTTCCTCTCTCTAGCCTATTACGCATATAGATTAAACAAAGAAGAAATTTGTAAAAAAAACCAATCCAAGAGAAGAGGAGAGACAGGGTTTGAGCTTCACTCATGAGACTACTCTATCTCGTGTGTGTGTGTGTGTTGTGTATGTGTTTCTCCATTTCCAAATATAAGTAGAACATTCCAATTATCTCAGTGTAATTTGATGATATTAAAATGTGGTAATTTTGAGTTTGATTATGTGTACAGGCTTCAGCTAGGCAATCACTTCAAACCACTAAGGTGTACTAGTAAACGGCTGTGTTTCGTCTTTGTTTGCACGACTCTTCAGCAGTACATATGCGTGAATCCATTAAGGGGCCACCAAATAGCCCAACTGTCGCAATTGTAACTTCTACCAACACAGTCCAGCAATTTGGATGTGGGGGACAAATACTCTCTGGGAGTGACGCTGGTTATGTAGTACGAATTGGCAGAAGTTAGAATCGATTGACCTTAGGATTCAGTCTACAGCGGTTGGTTGATTATACAGAGAGACAGAGAGTCGTGCAGCTGATGGCTGGTTTCAGCATAGAACTTTGCACCGATGTGTACCAGTTCAAGTAGCCTCACTCCCTCCTTGTAGCATACCAAGAAAGAGAAGAAATGTAAAACAGAGACAGTAAACCGCAATATAGAATAACAATATAGTTTCATTGGTAGTTATAAGTCATAAGGAGAACGATTTTGAGCCGTATCACCGATTGTCTCCAGGCTCCATTAGTTTTTACCGTCACGAGGACCCCAACCAGACAAAAGTCTATGTGGCTGGCTTAAACTAACTGTTGGGCATCTCATTGACCGATGAAGTCATGTTTTGGTTTGACCACCACTACGTCTTTTCCATGTCAGCTAACATTGCCCACTGTCGAGGAAGGCGATGACTAGGGATGCATGCGTAACACATTTCTTAACCATCTCAATCGATGTAGCTTCATAGCCTTGTCGATTGATTTCCCCTCCTTACCTAGCACTCGACCGCCACAGCTAGTTCACGAGGATTAGCTGGTGTAGGGTAGCTTTGAGTACTAGGGCAGAAAAGGCGTTGCTTGATTGGATCCCGGTAGATAGCCGAATGTGTGCTGTCCGTCTGAACGGATCAGTAAAAAGGAGAAAGGACTGCACTACTCGCCGATGCCTTTTCGTAATCTCCGCCTACGCCCCCACTGACTGCAGTTCATATGAAACGAAGGATGAGTTCTACCAAAAGCTGTCTAGTTTGGTGCGAAAGGCCGAACGCTCAGATATAGTCGTTCTAGCTGGTGACTTTAACGCTCAAGTAGGGAAATTGTGTCACTCTGAGAAGGATGTCGGTGGCACCTCTGGGGTTCCGTGCCAGCGAACCGACAACGGTGACCGTCTCCTACAGTTCTGTTCAGATAATCATCTGTTTCTCGTAAGCACTAACTTCAAACACAAGGAGAGACACTGTTTGACTTGGAGACCCCTTTCATCAAACCAACGCTGGATACAAATAGACCACATAGCACCAGTCAATGAAATCCACAACAGTTAGTCTAAGCCATGTAGGAAGGTGTAGACTTCCAGGTTGGGGTCCTCGGGACGGTAAAAATCTATGGTTGGAAACAATTGGTGACATGGCTCAAAATCGTTCTCAGTGGCGCAGATGCATCCACTCCTTGTGACTTATGATCTCCAGTGAAACTGTTTTGTTCTTCGTTATTACTCCTCCTTTGTCTCACACCTCTGCTCACTGTCTCTATTATGCTTTTCTTGTACTCTCTTCTCTTGCTTTGTGTGCTACACGGAGTGTGGCGACTTGAACTGGTGCACATTTGTGCAAAGTTCTATGTCGAAAACAGACAGACAGACATAGCAATAAGCTATCGTTGGCGTGGGTCGGTAGGAGATTGTCGCTCCTTCTGGAACACGTGTGTAGATACCGACCATGCACTGGTCCGCGCTCGGGTGTGCTTACGACTGAACGGACGTAGGAAACAGCTGGCGGTAAAACCATCACGTCCCCAGCTCGATCAGGAAACTAAATCCGTATTTGAGGAAGAACTAGCTAAACACATATCTGTGTTCGACAGCTGTGCTCACCCTGAAGAAGCTTGGAAAAATATCCAGGCAGCCATAGATACAGCTGTAAAAGCTGTGAATAAGGTAAACCCAAAGGTGAGTAAAAACCACTGGATCTCCACCGCCTCATCCGAACTGATAGATGCTAGAAGACTTATTCCGGCGAGCTCCGAATTCAATGAGGAGCGAAAGCTGCACAAGAGGAAACTTACGAAAAGTCTCCGCAAGGACCGTGAACAGTGGTGGGCGACAAAAGCCAAAGAGATGGAGAAAGCTTCGAGGATAGGCAACACCAGGCAACTCTTTAGACTCATCAGGGAAACGGGTGGGAGAAGACAAATCATTAGTGAGACAATCTCGGAAAAAAATGGCACTATAATTAGCTCCCAGGATAGACGACTGGATCGTTGGAAAGAGCATTATGAGGAGCAGTTTAATTGGCCCACAGCCACGCTCAACCTTCCGAGCATCCAACACCTCCCTGAATGGGATATAGACACAGGTCCTCCGTCCCTAACTGAGGTTACTAAAGCTGTCACCAATCTGAAACTAGGCAAAGCAGCGGGACCTGATGGAATGACTCCAGAGGTATTTAAGTACGGTGGAGACAGCTTACTGTCCGGATTAACTGAGGTACTAGGCAGCGTCTGGGAATCAGAAGAAGTCCCATCGGGTTGGTGTAAGTCACTGATTATCCCCATATACAAGAAGGGAGACAAGTCTTCCTGTGATAATCACAGAGGGATTAGCTTGACTAATATAGTATCTAAAGTCTTAGGCTCAATAATCATGCGTAGACTGAGTGGTGCTCGGGAGGCACAAACACGAGAGAGCCAGGCAGGCTTTAGACCAGGAAGAGGGTGTATTGATCATATCTTCACCCTCCGACAGATTCTAGAACATAGGCATTCCTACCGGCGTCCAACAGTCATTATATTTCTTGACCTAAAGGCAGCATTCGACTCTGTCGATCGAGAAGTTCTCTGGAGATGCTTGGCTGTAAAGGGAATTCCGAGAAAATATATTGCACTGATTAAGGCACTCTACTCGTACTCATACAGCCAGGTGAGGGCTTACGGCGAGCTGTCATCTGAACTGATGACGACCAGTGGTGTCCGTCAAGGATGCCCATTATCCCCTTTTCTATTCAACTTCATCATAGATGTGTTAATGGACTTAACCCTAGGTGACTTCAGCGACTCAGGGATTGACTTGCTACCGGGGAATAATCTCGTTGACTTGGAATATGCAGACGATATAGTCCTTCTAGGCGAAGACGCTGACG